ATGGCACTACTGTCACTGGAACTGTTAGGGGAGATGTTTGATGGTGGTGTACAGCAAGGGGGTGCATCCATCTTTCTGTCAATGGGCATCTGTTTCTAGCTCAAGCTCAAACTTAGAAAGGTAAGAAAATAAAGGCTCATAGAAATTAACAACTTGTTTGAGTTTTTATTACTAGTATAACTCTGATTTAAAATTGGTATCTTTTCACAGTAACAGCTTGACTGCATAACAATAACAATAATAATAATAATAATAATAATAATGTTTCCAGGGCAGAAGGATATTGTGTTTCACATCATTTCAAACAGAACAGTTTGGAATGAGAACAGTGAGGGTTATCCTTCCTCTTACACTCTCTAAGAAGCAAGTACTAAGACGAATTGAGTGAAAATGGTTTACTGGGAGGTAATACCTCTAAGGGAAAGAAGCAGAAGTAGGATTAAGCAGGAGGAGCTGTCAAGCCATGATCTAGACTTGACACAGTCACTGCTAGCCAGTACAGAGCTCTAGAGTAAGGACTGTGCAAGACTCAGCCTTGAAACACCTTGGAGCACTATTTTGCTCAGTCATTGTCTATGGGACATATCGGAGAACTTAGCCTAAAAGGTTAAGACAGATCCTAATGGAGCCGATAGCATGAGACTGTTAACTACTGCACTCCCCACATCTGGGTAGCAAAGAAATTTTGAAGGGAGATCTCAGGTACATATTTCAGAGTCTTTAAGAGGAGAAAAGAGGATAGAGATCATTCCTGTGACCTCAGGTATATCTTCCAGATATCCTGAGTCAACTAGATATCCTGAGTCAAACTAGTTGGATTTAAGAACAAAGTTTCAAAAACACCTATTTTAGAGGGGGAAAACATCTATAATCCTAGTTACTCTTCAAGAAATGGCCCCCAGAAGTTCTTCCTAAAAAAAGTTTAAGAATATCTAGTGCGTGTTTCACATATGTTCTGATAACATTCTGTTGACTACCATGGGGAACCTACCTATTTTTTTTTTATCACCTGCTCTAAATAATGTATCTAACTGAATTTAAGTTAGGAGAAACAATGATGCCATTATTAACTAGTGCCAGTGTCACTGCCCAGACACTGCCCTATACAAGATTGTGCTGATGGTGCCAAGGATCCTAAGACCAAGGACTCTGATTTCTAGTCATGGGTTCTGATGTCTCATATTCAGAGAAGAGAAGGCACTGAAACCAGTGCTTCATCATTACCCACATCAACAATGCAGCTATTGTCAATATTGCTATCATTCTGCCCCTGTGACAACAAAAATACCACTTCCAGGAGGATTCACATCATATAGAGTTGTGCAATAACAGCTTTTTGAGTTTTTGGTGACTTTTTTGTTGTGGATCCCTTGCTCCTAAATGGGCTGGCTGATTGACAAATGCCAGTATGCTTCTCTCTGACAATAACTTATCAGAATTGACCAAACTTCTATAACTTCACACTTTCCTTCCTTTGTTTTGTTTTTTTTGTAGGAAAACAGACCCTTGTGCTATACACCCTCCTCATCCCCTACTGCCAGTCCAGCATTCCAGATTTATACAGATATTCTTATGTCCTAGGATGGCCATGGCTCACGTAGATGCAACCTGAGATATCTGCTACCTTTGTTTGAGACTTTTCTCTAATTCCTAGAGAATGGAAAATTAATATCAGAAAGGAACCAAATAGATGATTACAAGATTGTGCTGATGGTGCCAAGGATCCTAAGACCAAGGACTCTGATTTCTAGTCATGGGTTCTGATGTCTCATATTCAGAGAAGAGAAGGCACTGAAACCAGTGCTTCATCATTACCCACATCAACAATGCAGCTATTGTCAATATTGCTATCATTCTGCCCCTGTGACAACAAAAATACCACTTCCAGGAGGATTCACATCATATAGAGTTGTGCAATAACAGATTTTTGAGTTTTTGGTGACTTTTTTGTTGTGGATCCCTTGCTCCTAAATGGGCTGGCTGATTGACAAATGCCAGTATGCTTCTCTCTGACAATAACTTATCAGAATTGACCAAACTTCTATAACTTCACACTTTCCTTCCTTTGTTTTGTTTTTTTTTGTAGGAAAACAGACCCTTGTGCTATACACCCTCCTCATCCCCTACTGCCAGTCCAGCATTCCAGATTTATACAGATATTCTTATGTCCTAGGATGGCCATGGCTCACGTAGATGCAACCTGAGATATCTGCTACCTTTGTTTGAGACTTTTCTCTAATTCCTAGAGAATGGAAAATTAATATCAGAAAGGAACCAAATAGATGATGATCTTTATAGCATAATCATCTTTAACTATCTCTGTAAGAAACTGAATACAAATATCATCTTCAACTGAATAAGGTTATTCTCAGTAAATCATTTTCCTCTCTTTATGAAAATTTAAAGAATTCTTTCTGACAGAATGGCGGGCCCCACATGGTCATTATTTCTACAAATCTGTTGCCCAAATTGGACAGAAGTAATATTCAACATCCCAAGTAATGGTCTTGAGGCTTCCCATTATTTGATTTGGGTACATATTATATTAATAACAACCTAGAATATTTGCAGTCCAGCTACTTGGCATTTAAGAAAATAAGAATAATGTTTAATATTTTAGAACTATAGTTTGACGAGTTCAGTCTCAGTCCCATAGCTAATATTTGAACCATTTGTTTAAAATTTTACTTGGGGGCCACGGGACCAACAGTTGGCATAATAGCTATGTCGCTGGACTCTCATGTAGTCGGCCATGGTTTGAGTCCTGGACTCGGTGGCTTAGACTCATGCCGGGTGCATGTGCATGTGTGCCCAAGATCCTGAGAGGAGAATGGAGGAGAAGGGATTGTGGCGTGTCCATCCCCCTGGGGAATGATTTCTTGCTTTCTCTCTCTCTGTCTCTCTGTCTTTCTTATAAGCGCACACACACTCTATAGCCAAAAACCTCTCCAATAAATAAATAAATAAATAAATAATTAAAATTTTACTTGGGGACAAAACAGTGGAGCAATGGTAATGCCATCCTCTGCAAGCCTGACCCACATGGGACAACTCTGGGTTCATGACCAGAGACCTCCCTGAACACTTTGGGTGAGGTTATGCCTAGGATCTGGGGTTGGCTCAAGCAGCATGAAGACCCTGTTTAAAGTCTCTCTCTTTCATGGTAGAAAGAAACTTTATAAAGTGTTTACTGGTTGCAAGCCTGTACGCTCTCAGCATTACATACCACGTAGGACAAAGTTAATTCAGGTTATAGTATGTGGATTCTAAGATAGTTAATTCCTAAAGCATTTATCTATCCTAATCATAGTTAATTTATAACCTTTAGGAAGGGTAGTAGTACATCAGTACTTCTACAGTAGGAAGAAAATCAAAATAGAAATATTTAGTCTCATTTCTGGTTATTCATTCAGTATAATGGGGATATTTCAGTTTCTTTCAGATAAAACAAAAACTGAAGAAAATTGAATTTCAGCTGTCTCTACAATTTTCCTAGAACCCACATATTATTTTATAGGGGGAAAAATATAAAAGAATGACCTTTCCTACCAATTTTCTCATGCTACTGCAAAAAGACACATCTGAAGGCCACAGAACATACAAATATGTGCACCTAATATTTCGGTTACAGTGGTAATGAGTTCTTCCTGTTTATCCTTCTCAAGGATATCAACTTTTCTCCAGTTTAGTTCCTGGAACACTTTGGTCTCATAGCATTCTCTATGCTTTCCTCCATCACAAATGTCAACAATAAGGATGGGTTAGGGTTCACTCAAGACTACAGGGGTCCAAACCAAGACTTCAAGGACAGGAATCTCACTCCAGTTTGCATCTGGTCTCTCCCACAAGAACTATCATTGTTAAATCTAACCTGAGTTAAGTGTTTCTCATATTCAGATGCTGTTCTAATCCACTTAATTCTCAGAAGCTTTTAGTGTAGGGACAGCTAATAACTCAGGGTCACATAGCTTAGTAAATGGAGCAGCCAGGATTCAAAATATGGTGGTTTAGCTCCATGGCCTAAGCTTCTAATCACTCCTTCCTGCTGCCTCAGTCCTTCCTGCTAAATTCAGTCCTACACACTGAGTTTTGTCACCTAACCTTCTTAGGAAGACATGTAATATCCAGCTTATAGCCATCTTCCCATGATATCCTTCTCCAGCTCAACGATTTTCTCTGACCGCCTCCAGTACTGTTCCTCCCCACAGGCTTCTGCCACTGACATCATTCCCTTGTCTGGCCCCTGAAACTGGAGTTCCAACATCAAATAAGCTAGCATGAAAATCACAAAAGATAAAGTCACGATCAAGAGCCTTCAAAGAGTTGGGAGGAAGTCTTTGTTTTCAATTAGACGCAGTTAGATGTCAGTAGTCTCTGCTGATGTGGGGTCTATATAGAGGTAGTAAAATGCAACTGTCTTAGCCAGTATTGATCTCTCCCTGAATCTCCACCTGTGAGGCACAGCCCCTCTGTGTGTACATTCTACTGAACAGCAGTCTAAGTGCCTGGCTCTTTTATCCCTTAATTCAAACACTGAATCTTGAGAGCCGGCTTTCATGCCCTCTGAGAACTAGGATAGGTTGCCCTCATCTCTCATTTTATAGACACTATAATACTCTCATGCTCTCTGACCTTCTGATTAAGTGGATCTCCTCCCCAGGGGGGTTTCTGTTTTCAGAAATCTCCAGATGAAAAGTCAATGGTATTTTTCAATTTTTAGAACCCCCACTCTCACCCCACTGCCACACCAGATCACAGAATACCTAAGTCTAGTGCCTCCTTCAGTCTGGGACTGGGGGATAGTTAAATGCTTCAGGAACTGTGTACTCCAAAAGGTTTTCTCTTTCCTACAGGGTGCTGTGAAAACCCACCACTTTATAAACTCAATAATAAGATGCCCCATAATACCATAGTGGGGAACAGAAGGCACAGTTTGTGCTTACAAAGCAGATTCATAGTGCCTTTTGGTCTCATCAGTGAGTTCAGAAAGCTCTACTCACAAGGCAGTAGCACCCCAGGAGTTGAGAAGGACTTGAATGGGTACATCACATCAACATATTCATGTCACAAAACCTTTCAAAGGAAATGACATCTGAATTACCCAAACTGGTACAAGGAATTACAGGACTTCATAGAGTATCAGTGACTTCTGATAATAGATACTTCTATTTAATTAGCTCAAATAAGTTAACACTGAAACCACCATTTTTAAAGTCAATAACAATATGGCCTAAGCTTTCTCTTTGGGCAATAAGATACATTGTTTACTTGTGAAGGGTAAACATATCTCATAAATGTCAAAAGCCAAAAGTTACAGTTTTTTCTTAGATACTATATACTTTTGGGTGTGTATACTAAGCCAAAAAATAAAATTAACCGTGTTTTATATCAATTCTGATCCTATTTAGTATATAAATATAGTGTGGTGATTAGATACTTAGTAATATAACACTTGACTCATACTGAGCATGTCTGCTGATATGAGAAATATGATTGGAACTTCCTACTGCATTAGGGTCATGGTGAAGTGTAAGTGACAACAAATGTAAAGCACAGAACAGGCACTGGGTATAAATGAGTTATTTTTCTGTCCTCAGTATTGCAATCTTTCCCTCATGATCCTTTATCTTTCATTCAACATTTCTTGAACTTTAAAAAAAAAAAGGTCTTACTAAGAGACAATACGATATGTTCTCTGCATTACATAATTATCATCTATTCCAGAAGCACTTTGTTTTAAGAGGTCTAATTATAGCGATCAGGTCAAAATTGTGTTGTTTATGGCATAAAATTGTTCTGCGTACTTTTGTCTTATTTCTGCTGTCAATAAAACTTGACAGCAAAGTCCTTGCAAGTGGTGTATCCTGATTTTCTGGACAGTTTAATGTCTGGACTTCAGTCTCAGTCTTGGAAAAACTTCCCTCCAAAAGACATCATTTCTTCAACATAGCACCCCTAACTTGCACTATCTACCCTCATGTAGAAGGTACTGATCAGTTAAAGAAGTTACTCACCTTCACATGCTGTCGCACATTCTACCACCTTTCAGCCACCTTTTCTCATTTTTTTCTTAATTTTCAACCCTTTGTAACAATTGTGAAGCTCACATTTTGTAGATTTTCTTCTGCGGTCTTGCTCCCTCTAGTGCTGAGTTAAGAGACTAGATAATTCATGAGATGACGCAAAATTTTCTGTAAAGTTAACATAGAAAAGGTAAATGTGGCAAGAATTGTAATATTTAGACATTGAAAGTATTTCTGTGCATCAGTAAAAGATCCTATATGTTATCATATCTCCAGCTACAAATACAACATTGACTCCTGATAAATATTTTTTGAACCAAACTGCTAAAAGGGTAGATAGAATACAGGGAAAATTAAGACCATGTCTTTTTGATAAGAAACATCCTATCAAAAAATAGCACTATTTAGCTATAAAGATAGAATAATTCTTTTTTTATTTTATGATTTGTTATTTACGTTCAATCATTGTGCTTCTCTAGAAAACATAATTTACTTTTCAAGACACACATGCGGTATGCAACAATCCAATCAAGGATATTATCATAAACATAATTTTCAACAGAGAATTTTACAATCTCATATCTGATGAGTTTTTTTCCTGACCCTCTCCCACCCATCCTCTACTATCCACTCTTCTCCCATACAGCTTCTGATATCTACCTTATCTTCCCTACCCTTCCGATCTTTCCATTTTTACGATAAAGTGCTTACTTCAGTGTCTATTGAGTGGGGATATGCAACTTTTACCTTTCATACTTTGACTTACTTTGCTCAGCATTAAATCTTCTATATTCATCCATTTAAAGTCAAATGGCAGGGTCTCACTGTTTTCTATGGCTGAGTAGTACTCCACAGTATAATTGCCACAGATTTTTAATCTATCCATCAGTTCTTGGACACTTAGGCTGATTACATGTCTTAGAAATTGAGAATAATGCTGCACTAAACATGAATGTGCAAATGTTTTTCAGGGACTGGGTGTTTTCCTGTCCTTTGGGTAAATATCAAGGAGTGAACTTTCTTAGTCAAATGGTAGTTCTATTTTCTGTTTTTTCAGGAATCTCCATTTTGCTTTCCAGAATGACTGTACTCATATTTTTAAAAAGAATTATTTATTTAATTTTACTTATTATTATTATTTTAATCTGCTATAGGTCATGTGTGCTCATCAGAGAGAGAGTGAGAGAGAAAGCAAGTCACCAGGTCTGGAACTTGAACAGTGGTTTATCATGTGGGAGTCCAGCATTTCAACCACCACACCACCTGCTGGCCCTGTGTCATGTCAGTACTCATTTACAAAGCTGTGATAATCCAAACAGCATGGTACGGGCACAAAAACAGACACACAGACCAATGGAACAGCTTCAATAAGGGTAACCAGAATATATAAAGAACTCAAGTAGTTCACGCACCAAAAAACAAATATCCCAGTTAAAAAGGAGCGAACAAGCTAAACAGACAACTCTCTAAGGAAGACATATGAATGGCCAAGACACATAAGAAAAAATGTTCAACATCTCATATTATTAGGGAAATGCAAATCAAAACCACAATGAGACACCACTTAACCCCAGTCAGGATACATATAATCAAAAAATATTAGAAACGTGCTGGTGAGGCTGTGGTAAAAAGGGAATCCTTTCACACTATTGGTGGGAGTTAAATTAGTACAGCCACTGTAGAAAAAATGGGATAGTTCTTTAAAAATTGTTTACATTCTTTTAAAGAATTAAGTACATGATTCAAATACCCTTGGGAAGAAGCAGCTCCCACTTTTAAATGTTGTGCCCACAGACAGATGAGAAAGTCTGTATACCACAGGCTAGAGCTTCTGACCTTTTGTAACTCCTGCGACCCTTTAGTGTTGGTGACAGCTGCACGCAAAGCTTTCTTTACCCAGTGAGACTACCCTGAACTCTCCTCAATGGTCAGCCATTTGCTTCCAGTCTTGTCTTTACTTTTTGCCCCTTCTTCCTCACTTCTCCCAAACCCAATTAGCTCTACCTTCAAGTTGGCTATACTTTATGTCTTGATCTGCAGAGTCTTGGCTAGGATCCTCTCTACAACTCTCACTGTAGGACTCTCCATTTCAAGTAACAGTGATAGGAAGGGGCATAACTTTTTGCATAACCCAATATATTATAAGATACAAATATACTTTTTAAAAATCATTCAATTGACTCTGTAATCATTTAACCATAATAAAAGTTGACAAAGTTGCCTGATTGGTGGGGAAATGTGAATCCCCCAATGACTTTCAAATATGCCCTAGGGGGGCTTGTCAGAATCTAAGGAAATAGAATGGTCATAAAATGCTAAACCATAGGTTTTCAATAGTTGGAAAATATGAGTCTAATTCAGAGGGGACTTTCTAAACAGTTATGAAGGTTTAATTCTAAGAATGATAGCTCAGACCAGTCAGTGGTGTGGTGGGTATAGTGGCTGGATCTCATATGGCTGACTATGTTGAATTTGGTGGCTTCAGAAACATGCTGTGTGTGTGTGTGTGTGTGTGTGTGTGTGTGTGAGAGAGAGAGAGAGAGAGAGAGAGGGAGAGAGAGAGAGAGAGTGTATGTATGTGTCTAAATATCAAAAGGAGAAATACAGCAGAAGGGATTGGAGTGGGCCATTCTCCATGTAGGGTGCTTTCTCACTTTCTCTCTCTCTCTCTGTCTCTCTCTAGTGAGTACATGTGCCCTCTACCGATTTTTTTAAAAAAGAATGATAACTCCGAATTATATAATTCAGCTACTAAAAACAAATTCAAAATAACTCAGTCTATACTTTCATTTTGCAAACACTATGCAGTCTGTATATCTTTTCTATCATTCCTTCTTCCACTCTTCAGTCTTCCATTGTATTTGTCTTGCCCCCACCATTTTCTTCTTAATTCAGCAAGGCTCAGAAAAACTTCCTTGGCAAAGGTAGAACCATCCTCAGAAAGTGAAGAAGATGAATGTTGGCAGTTAGAATCCCTTAAGTCAATAAAAATAAAAGTTAAGGACGCATATAGGTTAAAACGTTTTGATCCATCACGTACATGTGTTTGCACTGGGGTCAGAGAAGATAAAAGTAAAAATAATACCATTATCTTACATCCCTGAGGAAGACAAAAGACCTCTGACAATTCCTATTCTGGTTGTTACCTGCATATTTAAGGTTTAAAGAGACTCTTGATGTCTTTACAAATTACAGAAGCAAATAGCTGATTCTTAGCTTTCTTTTCAGTGTGTACATTGAAGGCAAGCCTCAGCACTGCCAGGAGCATTTAACTTGCGTGGGCAATTGGTTTAGAGTTAAGAAATTTTATTATCAGTTTAGTTACAAGAACATACAAAAATATAAGACTAGAGTGCAATGAGGGTTCCTATCTTTCAGGCTAGTAGTCTTTACAGAAGAAATAGTATTTGTTGTGTTAAAGAACACATAATTTCAAAATTATGGCTGAAGTGCAAACATTTAGGAATGGCATACTTCTCTGTGCCTTGCTGTTATTTAGACAATTTACACTTTATCAAACAAGCTTCTGAGTTACAAGTTTAGTTATCATACTAATTTCTCCCACAGAATTTTTATTTACTTATGCCCCATTTTACATTTTTAAACACAAAATTTTCTCCATATACTACTATGATAAGGAGCTCTAATTTCTCGTGAAAGCTACTGATTTGAAAGAGGTAACTTTCATTTTGTGAGAATATAATAGTAAAATATAACAAATAGGTATCTTGGGGAGTCTTTCGTTTCCAATGCACAGGAAAATCTTCTGCTCACTATCTTTGGGATCCTGCTTCCAAGTGTAGATTCTGCCTAAAATTCTGCTTCTATTTTCCTGTGACTTTTGACTCTTTAAATTGTTCAGCATAGAACCAAGAAAAGGAAGGACTGTTAAGACTGGGTTCAGCTGCATCTAACAGAGACACTGGTGTCATAGAGACCCACAGAGATCTAAGGGCTCTCCCATTCACTCTGTTTACAAATGCATTACATCTGCATGTTAAGCAACAGGAAGAGGAAGTGGCAGAAGGCCAAAGGGCACACAACAGCTGTCTTTCATAAAAATTTCCCAGAAGCTACACACTTCCACTGCCACTTCATTGACAGTGCTAAACAAGCTCAAGGTAGAAAGAGAAAGAATAGATACTGGGTCAGACAACCAACAACAGTCTCCATAGCAGAAAGTCATGATGACAGAACATGAAAAGATACCTTGAAATCTCTAGAGAAGCCCCAGGAAAATGTAGCAAAATGAGCACGATAATAATCACCTTTCCTCAGAATAGAAGGATGATCAGGGACCAGCAGTTAGCGTAATGGCTATGTTGCTGGACTCCCACGTAGTCGACCGCGGTTCAAGTCCCAGACCCGGCGGCTTAAACTCATGCTGGGCGCGTGTGCATGCGTGCCCAAGATCCCGAGAGGAGAATGGAGAAGAAGAGATCGTGGCATGGCCATCCCCCCTGGGGGGTGATTTCTCGCTTTCTATCTCTCTGTCTCTCTCTTTCTGGCGAGCATACACGGCCTATAGCAAAAACCTCTCCAAAAAAAAAAAAAAAAAGAGAAAAAAAGAAAAGAAAAAAAGAAAAAGAAAAAAGAAAAGAAGAAAGAAGAAAGAATAGAAGGGTGATCAATTAATCTTCTATTATCCTCGATAAAACATGCAAAGAATGTCACCCATGAATATATAACAACATGGGTTTATGACTAAGATCTGGTTCCTCCTTCCAAAAAGCAATGTGTTTTATTCAAATGTTGTGTTAAGAGTATTAAAATCTGACAATGTGTGGGACCAGCAGATGGTATAATGGTTATGTTGCTATACTCCCATGTAGTTGACCCAGGTTTGAGAACTAGCCTAGTGGCTTAAAACTCATGCCAGGCACATGTATGGGTGTGCCTAAAATCCTTCCAGAAGAATGGAGAAGCAGGAATTATGGCATAGCCATCCCCTGGAGATGACTTATCATTTTCTGTCTGTCTCTTTCTGTCTCTCTGGTGAGCACACATGCCATATAGCAAAAATTTCTCTAAAAAAAAAATCTGACAGTGTGTGGTTTTCCCTCTGTTCTGCTTTTTTCCACTTTTTTCTTGACTTTCCCATCCACTTATTCTTACATGTGAGTTTTAGACTCATTTTAGAATTTAAAAAATTATGATTTCAGAATCAC